TCTCTCTTTTCCTCTCTGTTCACACCCTGACACCCCCAACTGCAGTCCCAGAAGACAGATCCTACGCTGCCGGCTCATACTGGCATTCCTCCCAAGACTGGAAGGAAAGGGATACAGGAAACCACTTTCAATGCTACTGCTGTTTGGTGACACAATAGAATAAAGCCTTTATATGTGGGAAGCACATGTATACATTTCATAAAGAATACATGCACAAATCCTACATCTTCAGACCCAAGTAGCCTCTTGTTTGCATTTCTTACTCAGAATAAAATACATTCTCCAAGCCTCCTATATAATGTGTTGAAACCACCCTAAAAATCCTCTTTTTTTCTGAAGTAAGAGGGTTGGTAGAAAATAACCCCCCAAATACATATGTATCTCTGCAAGGAGAAAACAAGGGAGAGGGAAGTAGGATATATCTTTACTGTGTCTGCTGGCCTGGAAAATAAATACCGCTGTTGTGCAACTCTGCAGCTGCTCACTCTCTCAATTTGTTGTTTTCGTTCTGGTTTTTATGATTTAATCTCATATCCTTACAGTTAATCTGAAAAGGGTTCAGGCAGCTTTATTTATTAGTCTTCCTTCAGATCATGAGCTTACAGATCATGATCTTTTCCTATACCAAGAACTTATTCTCTCTTTGTGACAAGGCTCAACCTCAGATAGATGTAGCAGGAATAAATTGACTTATAACACATGAAAATTAACATTCTCACAATATCACCATATTTTCACTTTCTTTTTCATTGACTCTCATGAAAAATATCCTTGAGGAAGTTTTTCTTCCACTAATATAATGCCTGAAAAATATTGTAAAATTAAAGTCAATTTTCAAATTTTGAAGAATATTTTAGATTCATAAAATACAGATTAGGGAAAATAATAATTTTTTATACCCTCAAAAATTCACATCTACCGAACTACATAGCATCATTTCAGATATATATTAATAGCTGTGTCATTGTAACCTTGGTTTGGAAGATGCATGAGTTGTTTACTACTTTTAGAGAGCTATGTATATGTACAGAATAAAGGTTTGTGAAGCAACAGCTCTGGAATGTCACAAAATATTTACCATTTAAAACAATGAGTCCATATGTGGAAAATTACTGAAATGGCTTTTTAATGGATCCTACTGAGAGCAAGAAAATAATTATTTTAAAAGTATAGCAACACTGCATAAAGATCTAACAATTCAGGCAAAGAGAATGACAAATAAAAAAAGCTTCATAGGTTCCTTGTTTACCAGATTTTAATTTTAGGATGTTGCACACATTTTAACAGAACATTATAAACATGGGCTTGGAATGAAGAAACCAACTATTTCACAAGCTGATTGCCTCCTGTAGAATAACTGAAAAAATGAGATTTTGTCTGTTCAAATTATTTTTCTGCTAGAAATAAAACACATATTGTATGATGAATAGTGTAGATCTTGGAAACAATCAACTACATGAAAGATCTTGATGAAAAATAAAAATCAGACCCCTTTGCCTAATCCAGAATTAACATGAATCTGCAAATCAAAGAACTACAGCTACAAATCTACCATCTGTGCTCAGCAGACCTCAGAATAGTCCTTCTGAATCTATGGATTGCTTTAAATAATATTTCACATTTCTTGGATTCACATCATTTTGCAGTTTTCAGGGAATCTGGTGGTACACTGTATCAGCATTCATACAACCTGCACGCAAGGTTAAGTCTGTGAAAACCTCTACAAATGATCACAGTTCAACTGTGCTTAGCAGAAAAGCTCCATGTGGGACAAATTACATTAGTCTCACCTGAAACAATGTCAGATACACCACGGGCATTTAGTGAATCATACTTGTGTGCCTGCTGCCCCTGCCCTACCCACAGGTTCGCTATATAAAAAGCAGTAAAAGCATCATAAGCCAGATTGTAAATACTGTGGTAAAGAATTTAAACTGAGAGAGGGTAGATTTAGGTTAGATATCAGGATGGAAATCTTTACTGTGAGGGTAGTACGGCACAGGAACAAGTTACCCAGGAAAGCTGGATGGCCCCATCTCTGGAAATGTTCAAGGCCAGGCTGGATGGGGCTTTAAGAAGTGGTCTAGTAGAAGCTGTCCTTGCCCATGGCAGGTGGGGGGGATATAGGTGATTTTAAGGTTGCAGTCTAAGTCATGCTATGATTCTTTATATGAACTAGAAAGAAAAAAATAATGAAACACTCTTCTGCTCTTGTTAAGTACAATTTACTTCTGAACAGATTTTTTTTTTTACATTTTGCTTTTTTCTGTAATGGACCAATATAAGAAACATGCTCTTGGAGAATGCATAATCCAAAATCATTCATTTCAGGCTTCTTCAGGCAAAAAATTATCGATCAGCCAGAGAAGATCTATAAACAAGTACCTATCTGTCTAAACAGGCTGGGATCTATCAATTGCAAATGGGACTGTTGCTTGCATCAAGGAAACAGAATACTAGTCTAATGGTTGAAACAATAAAAATTTAATACAATTCATTTAATTAATTTAATTAATAATACTAGTAAAGAAGACAGGAAAAAAAATTTGATGAGTACAACTCAAGGATGGAAAAACAAAAGAGCACAACCAGAAAAGACACGGTAAGGAGTGAGACAGAAAGGACATTGATGATCTTGAGATTAAAGGAGTGAATGTTGCCCTTTACTCTCTGACCAACATGTCTCCAGATGACCAAGATAAGATATATGATACTTGATTTAAAGAACTTCTAAGCAACGATTGCTGCAACACCCATGGAAGCTACAAAAGCAGGTAAAACCTTTGGCAAAAAGAATATATTTTATCTTTCTATTCAAATCACAACCCAAATGTATAAAATCTTAGCAATATCTTTCTTTTCACAAGTGGTCATTTTTTTAACACTTTTAATTATTTTTTGTGCCAAAAGTAATGTCCTCCTAATAAAAAATAAGACAGAAAATATAGTTTTCACTTTCTACTTACATTTCTACTTACATACATCCATTATTGTGATTGTCCAAGGCAAGCAACAACCACTTCTAAATACCAGAGACTTTTTTGACTATTTCTTTATTATTTTGGACATTTTGAATGGCCAAGTTTTTCTCAAAGAATTCCTTTTTGTAGGAAAATGGTCTAACATACTAGTTGGTTGCTCAATTTCTGCAGATACCTAGTTGAATTCTGGGATCATCCTTCACAGAGCTGTTGATACTCTCCTCTAAAAGCCCATTTGACCAGTAAGACTTTGAATAAACATCACAGAGAAATCTTTATCATTAGGTCCAGAAAAAAAAAAATCTATGTGAGGAACATTAGGGAATAAAATTATTCAGAAGACCCTCTATCCTTCAGTAGTGTATAATATATATCATATTCTAAGCATACTTGTATATGCTAACTAGGGAGCATCAGTATTATTATTATCCAAATAAAATACGAAAAGGCTAATGACTGAAAAAACTATCTGAACTTAAATAATATATCAAGTAGAAGTGATCACAATCAGCAAAATAGCTCTGAGTTCAGGCACAAAGCCCACATCCTGTTGGAAAGTATTACTTTATACTGTCCATGTTTATTGTTTAACTCTATTTATGGTAAATACATATTGTGTATGTCAATTATATATTTATTCATATATCACTCTCTCCCTCCATATTTCTGCATGCATATAATATAAAAACATTTTCAGGGGTTTGGATTTTTTTTATCAATTTATCTATGATACCAACTTCCTATCAAAATTAGTGGGAAAAAATGAACCACAAGAAAATCAATCTGCCTCTCCTACTCTCTAATGTCAGGTTAGGGTGCCAGCTGTGTTTTTCAGATCCATGTAACTGAGGAGCATTCAGGACAACTAAGTACTGAACCCAACAGCTGAAATCAGAGCAAACAGCAATAGGCAGAATAAGTTAAACAAAAATGTTAAATTCATTACATTCAATTTGCCCTCATGCAAGACCAAAAATAGGAATTTAAATATGGGGGAATACAAGACATGAAGAAAAACTATGAACTATTTTCCTTATACTAAATGTAAAAGATACTATATATGTCCAACTTGTTTCAAGCTCACAGAATAAATGCTGTAATGAGGTCATATCTGGGCAGCAGAGAAAAGCTGCCAGATTATACTGCTCTGGCTGCCAAATTCCAAGAGAGTTGGAGGTCTCTCACACACGCGTGAGAATATCATTTCCATGGAAACACCTGAGCAACCGCACTCTCATCTTTCCTTTCCCACCATTTTTAAAGTTCTATAGCAGTGTGCCTTATGAAAAAATTAAATTCATTCAATGTAACCAGTTTTATTTTTGTGTTCCTGTAAAACCTGGCCACTGAGGTTGAGAATTTTCTGGTGCCTTTTGGAATATTCACATTAAGAAAAAGAGGGAAAATCCTGCTCCAGTCTCTGGCTAAACCAACTCTTACTACATCAGCACTCATAGAGTTACAGTTTCAAACAATGCAAGTAACACCAATGTAAATCTAGGAAGGAAAAAATAATTATACTAATGGCAGTAACTAACACCAAGAAACTGAGAAACCATGAAAAGACTCAAGTCATTACACAAAGATTTCACCGTCCTCAATATTATGTACTGCAATACAACCAGAAGTCATAATTCAGTAGTCTGAACAGATGTTGTCTTCCATTAATCTGCCTTTTTGAGTCCTATTTTTGGATGTGCTATAGTGACCACAAAAGAAATATGGTAACATTCTGCACAGCACAATTACTGTAATTTGACCAGGTTGTAAGCACATGGACAAACTCTGTCACACTGCAACTGTCACATGCCCCATTTTTTCAGTGAGAAGGAATGAAGAGCACACACTGGCTATGACCATCTGAAATCAACAAAAGGCTTCTCAATGTTGCTTCAAAATACCCAGTATGTATTTTATAGGCTACAGAATAAAAATAAGACAAAATTGTAAAAAATAAAATCAAATTTGTAGCATAAATTCATCAGATCTTACCAGGATAATCATTAAATACTTTCTTACCTGTCTGATGTGTCACTCGCTACTGGATGCTTTACTGCTGAACCATTCTTAATTGAGTCTTGTCTTGTGAGCCCTTGAGACCTGTTTTTGTCCAAAGCTTGTGTGGATATGTCACCTGGTGGTCCCTGGTACTGCGGGTGCTCCTGCAGTTTTGCTTTTTTCTCTTGCGGTGCTTCCTCGTTCCTCAGAGCTCTGCTTCCCTCTTGGTCCGGCTGCTGCGGGGCGTGTGACCCGCTGTTATAGAACCAGGCTCCCGACTTCGTGAGGATTTCTTGTTGTTTTCGGCACAAGTTACATACCCACATTACCTGTGCAGACACATTTAAATTTAAAATCCATTAGCTTGTAAACACTCTCTACGTTTCCAGCAAGCACACATCAACTGACTGTTAACATTTCCAAAAGTAAAAAGGCTACAGTTTTAATTATATTAAAATTACAATAACTTAGCTACACTATAATAAAGTATGTCTGTACAACCTTGGAGTAACTGGTTTTGGAAAAAAATAATTTTAGGGGTTTTTTTTATTATTTGAAATACAAAGAACAGATAGTAGCAATATAAATTAAAAGGTTCTAATACTGAGGTTCCAATGGTAATAAATGCAAGCTTTGAAAATTAACACTATAATTTGAGATGAAAGAAAACATTATTTAAAAAATCATTGAACTTTTAATCCATTTTAATTCTTCCACTAAGAGTAAGGAACTTTAGAAAAGGTCACCTGCTGTTGCAAGCAAGTCATTTTATAATGCTCAAAAATGCTTTGCTAATTTTCTTCCATGGTGCTCCATAGCCAATGCTTACTGGAAGATGATGACTTCAGGAAGTGACTTCAATTTCATAGCAATTTTAACTTAAAGCTGTTTTTCAACTAAAATAACACAATGTATAAGGTGGTGTTTCTTTCCACTTCACACGCACAATTTAGCTTGCATTATATGCTCCTCTGTGCACTCCCTTGCCATTTAATGGTGCTGGTATGCCCATCCTAGTAAACTTCCTTCTTATCTTTTTATAGGGCTGTTATCATTTATGAGAACTCATGTCTGCTTATATCAACAATAGAGGAAAAACCACCAAAGCCCTGAGGGCAAAAAAGAGAGGCTCCCCAAGAAGCAGTTTGCTCTCTGAGGTACATTTGATGTCCTTAGAGGACATACAAAGGACAAAACTGTGTATGCTTCAGGCCTGGACGTAATTCAAATACATATTTAAGAACAGGTCTGTTTTACCATTGCTAATTAAGCTAGAAAGTACATGAGAAAGCAGCAAAGTGGAATTTCAGAACCCAAGACAGAAGTATTTTCTCCCTCTTTAATCAATAGTAATTAAAAGGCTTTAATATTTCTGCTAGGTCTGTACACAGCTGAAAGAAGTTTTAACCTTTCCATGTATGTGTTAGAGCAATGAAAGGACCAGATGTGATACAATTATGCAAGTATACAAATATATAACAACTTCAGTTAAAATGAGATAAAATCCCCCAAAGCCCTCATTTGTTATTTTCACTTCTTTTAGTAGATGTTAAAATATCACAAAAGCTAGATATTACAGTGAAAACACTTGGGCAACTTCTTCCTTGGCTGACAGTCAAAATTTTCTCCCCAGACAACGGACATTTTCACATTACCCTTTGTATCCATTATTTAAAATAAAAATTTCTCTTTTTTAAATATACAACGCTGAAAAGAAGTATTCCAAATTTGGATGATCAGTATTATTCTACTGTACCCAACAGAATAAAAGTTCTCCCTGAATTTGTATGATTTCCTCTAAAAGTAGAATCAGGAAGAGTACTCCTAACCTAACTTGATTCCTGAAAAGTTTATTTAGGGTATTTCAGATTTAAAAAAAAACATTTAAAAAAATTTAAAAAAAAATAAAAACATGATTTAAAATGCAGAGATGTAAGAATTTTGCAGATTTTTTTTTCTTCTTTTCTAGGCGCGTTTAATGATAATTACAAGACACACTTCTGATGAAGCCTGACATAACTTCCACTTCCAACATAACTTCAACATGCAGGATTTTCAAAGTGTTGACCCTAACACAATTTTAGCTTTAAATAATCATACACTGTGAGAAGAATGGGAAGTGTCACATAGACAAAAATGTTTGTGCTTTCAGTGAGTACAAAAATTACAAGCCCTCAAATAGCAATGGACAAAATTGCCTTCCTCATCTTATTGCAGCATGTAGAAGCATTCTCACAATTTAAAAAATGCTGGTAATTTATAGTGCAGACCTCTCAATTAAATACAGACATGCTGTAAGATGGTGTCAGCAGAGCACAGACGGCACAGTGGTGTGTTCCTGGACAGGGTTTCTCCTCCTGCCCCGGGTGCCTGGGACACAGTGCCCAGCAGCTCACACACATGCAGAGCAGCTCTGTCCCTGCCAAGCCCCTGCCAGGCCAGAGCGATTGCTGGGACTGTGACAGCAGCACTGCAGAGAAGCAAAGGCCACACGAGTGGACCGCATGCTCAAGAGAAGCATGTTGGAAAACCTGGGAGGACTATTATTTAAAAAAACTATTTTAAAAAATTAATAATTAATTTAATAATTTTATATTATATATAATAATAATAAAGGACTAACCCCTCACATCAGAAATCTGCAGTCCAGGGTAGGCACACTATCTACTTCACACATTTGCAACTCTCCTAAACACCCTCCTAAAAAAGCAATCGTGAACACATTTTGTACACAAAAATCAGTGTTGAAATTTGGGGGGTGTCAATCTTCCACACAAGAACACTGCCAATTTGAAAAGGAAAATATGGGAAAAATATCTCCTGTCCAACGTTTGGTGCTAGCTCAAAACCAGCATCTCAGGTGCTATTGGCACTGGATGGGGATGTTCTTTTCCATTGGAAAGGCTGAAACTCCACCTAGTGCATAGATGAGGCATTGCTCAAGCTCAGTTCAAATCAGCTTCTCATTGCTGAAAAGAATGCACTAAACATACCTGACATTTTCACATTATCCCTTGTGTCCATTACTTCAAATAAAAATTTCTCTTTAATATACAAGGCTGAAAAGAAGTATTCCAAATTTGGATTAGACAGGTTTACCTTAAACCTTCCATCTGCTTTCCATTCTCAAAGGTTAGTTCTACACAGTGAACTAATAACTTCCAACTCATTTTTGATTTCTTCACTATTTTTGGCAAGATTATTCATAATATGCTCCCACTTCTAACACTGCCCAGCAGCTTTCATCACATATTATTAACACTTATTGTTACATGGGCCCATAAAACAAACCTACAGTAATCAGCCATTTCACATCTACATATCAGAAATAAATAATGCACAAAGAATCACTTCCTTGTATTGCCCTAAAAAAGACCCTAAAATTTTTTGTTCTTAGGTAAAATTATTCAAAACATATTTGACATAGCACTTTAACTTCAATAAATGGGAAATAGATTTATCAAGAAATTATATCTGCAGCTATTTCAAGTGAAAATTAAACACACCCTAAAATTTTTTGTTCTTAGGTAAAATTATTCAAAACATATTTGACATAGCACTTTAACTTCAATAAATGGGAAATAGATTTATCAAGAAATTATATCTGCAGATATTTCAAGCGAAAACTAAACACAATAAAAGATATAGTATGACATTGATTTCAGTATTTTCAGATGGATTGTGTGAAAAGACAGCTACCTTAAAAAACATCACTGTTCCTGTAAGTACAGTTATAGACACTAAATCCTGAGAAGAAAATGGAAACCTTATTTTATTTAAGATGAGATTAAAAGGCTCGGTATATTTGATTATGCATAAGTTTGAGTTTGATAGGTTTGACACTACACCCTAAGAAATAATTACACCAAATCCTCATCAGCCTTTAGAACATTACTTCAAATTACAGGTGTGCTGAGGTGAAAAATTGTAGTGCAAGGCTGGCACAGTATTTCACCAAATCTATTAGAGTTAACCTGCTTAGCAGAAACATCTAATATATATTAGCATTATATTAACTGCTGTATTTGCTGCTGGTAGTCCTAAGCAAATTTCATATGTTTTTGTTGGGTTTTTTTGGATCTCATATTTCACGTAGGATACAATTCTTTAAAAATTATACAAAGTAACAAGACTACAGCACTGAAAGGAAGAAAGACACAAGAGGAAGAGTAGGAAAACTACTTGGGTCATCAAGGTAATTAATCATGATTACAAACACATTACTACTAGTCTTTTTTTTTCCCCCTGATTTGTCACTGGTACAAAACTTCATTACATCACGGAGCAGTGCAATGTTTGAAGCCACCCTGTACTAAGGAAGTTTCTTCAGGAATGTAGTATATCTCTGTATTAGCCACTATGTTGATGACAGGTTCCCAGAATCATTAGGGTTGGAAGGGACCCCTGGAGATCATCCAGTCCAACCCCTCTGCCAAGGCAGGGTCATCCGGAGCAGGTGACACAGGAACGTGTCCGGGTGGGTTTGGAATGTCTCCAGAGAGGGAACGACATCTCTGGGCAACCCATTCCAGTGCTCTGCCACCCTCAATGTTAATAAGCTCTTCCTCATGCTGAGGTGGAACTTCTTGTATTTTAGTTTGTGGCTGTTGCTCCTTATCCTGCCCCTGGGTACCACCCAAAATAGTCCACATGCCAATGTGGAACAGACACTGCCAGACCAGCACTGCCACAAAGTAACGTGAGTCACCCTCCTCTGTGCACTCACAAAACTACAATTTACTGCAGCAAATCTGTCCTTCAGGGAATACAGACCCAGTACACAGACACTGCCAGACCAGCACTGCCACAAAGTAACGTGAGTCACCCTCCTCTGTGCACTCACAAAACTACAATTTACTGCAGCAAATCTGTCCTTCTTCAGGGAATACAAACCCAGTACCGTAGGGGTCAATGGTATCTTCCTTACCTCCAGTCCCCGTTTCTGCTAATCTCTCCTCATTTTGTCTATTTGAAATGTAACATTGTTTCCAAGGAACTATAATTTTAATTTTTCTAATTTATAGTTTTAATAAGTGAGTGTCTTAAGTGAAGATTTGGGACTGTGAGGATCCCTTTGAACATCATCTCTCCAGAAATGAAATGGAATTGGTTTTTTGGTTATTGGAGTTTTTTCAGAATACACTAAGATCTCCCAAAATTTTTCAGTAAAATAACAACATTATTAGTTGTCCCTGTCAGAAGTAAAACTTTTTAGTACCCTACTTATTACTTAGAACTCAATCTTCCTCAAATCTGACTGGAAGACTGGAAGAAGTTAGCTAAAACATGCAATCTTATCTTGGTTCTATACAGTACCAAAACCTGTCTC